TTGACTGAATGTGAAAACGTGGACAGTGCACCCACAAGAGTCTTTCTGTTTCCTCAACAGTCAGTAAGATACAAAGTGCATTAAACAGGAGGGTGATTTCACAAGCTTCTCCTCAGTTTGTCTGAAACACAGAACATCTTAATTGGATATGACGCGGGCAGTTTAAGTATTGTTACCTCTGATGGAAGAGATGGCAACGTTGGTTAAGACAGAGGTAGACACGGTCACATATTTCTCTCTAAACGAGAAGGGAATGTAAAGGTGGAAAAATCAATTGCCCAGTTAAGTCTTATACAGCCTACGAGAAAGAGCCTTCACGTTTTGGAGAGGCAATTATTTTGCAAAGTAGTAAGACAATAGGAGTCTGTTGGGCTGAGATACCTATAATGAACCAGCAGAAGAAATGTTGCCAACTGTATGCATTCAAGGTTCAGAGCAACCAAATCCAGAGATCAAAAATCAATAGGCAGAATAGACTGAAACAAATTAACTGCACAAGCCACTAAGTCCCTCTTTATAAACTTGATGAACTAGTTGAAGTCTTGGTAAAAATAAAAAAAAAACCTCCAGGTCTTCTGGAACGGCTTCTTTTCTAATGTAATGTTTAGTTCATCGAAAACAAAAATGTATAGCCCACACATTCCCATTCTTTTTTATCTAAGTTGTTTAAAAAGTGGAAGGTTTGAGTCATTAATAATTATATGCAAATACACACAATATAAGCAAAATGCACTACCTTTTATAGTGTTTTTTCTTCCCATAGCCACACGGTGATTAATTAATTTAAACTGAACTGAAAACACAACTGACTGGTGGACCCCAAGAGCTGCTGCTGTAACAAATCCTCTGTTTAAAATTCTTCATATTTTTTAAATGTTCCTGGTTATGTATGAGAGATAAAAGCTGGTGACTTACTGACTCCCGTCTTTTGAACTGATCTACAGTTCAGCATCACTCTTCAACTTGCTGGACCTGGAGTCTGTCAATTGAAGCTCATCATCAGTCGGTTACACACTTTTCGCAGGAGATAGTTCCCCCATCACCAAAGTTACAGAGCAAGAACAGAAGTTCAGGGTGAAGAGTTGGAATAAAAGAGGAAACATTCTCCTTAGTCCAGGTCAGTGTACCTTAAAACTAATTTTGAAGCTGCTATTTTCAGAAGGTAAAGAATGTAATGTTCATTTCACAAACACTTTACATTACTCTTAACATTCATTCATTCACACAGCACTTATATATCCAGTGCTTTGTCACCCAAGACTTTGTTTTATTATCTTTGACTGTTTCCAGATATTATTCAATCTATTCAATGACTTGGACTCTTCTTCCATTTCTTTATGCTTGAAACCCTGAGGGAGGAGTCAGTGCAGTGTGTGACAACCACATAATGAAGGTGTCTTTAGTTTCTCCTTGAAGAATTTAATTTCACACCATCATCAGGTCCTTGATCTGCTTGAAGAACTCTCAGGACACAAAAGTTGAATCGTCTCTACTGCAGTTTACTGAAATGTACTAACACCCACCGCACTGTCTTGTCCTCTGCTGTGTAACAAAGAAAAGAAATCTTCTGATGGAAAGGTGATGATGGGAGGAGGGAGTTAATTACATATACTCACTGCTGCGTGCTGGTTTTGAATTACCCCAGAACAATGATGAATGTGCAGCACACTCAACGCTGACAGACCACCAGGACTAATGTCTGTTAGTTAACTGCGGTTAGTTAACTCACTCACTCACTACGACCCATGCTTGGTCTAGATAGATCATTCTCAGACATTCTGCACAAATCCACCAAGGTGAGATACTTGAATACATACGCAGAATCCTCTAAATACTGTGCATTGAAAAGAACATAAGACACCTTGAATCTCTTACGCTGGGTTAATTCATTAAGCCCAGATGCGACCTCTGCAGCCTTCTCCCATTAGTGGCCAGATGAAACCTGTCATTTGGCATGTGACTGATGAAATAATTGTGATTTGCTTAAATACGCATTAGCAAGGCGAGGCAAGGTAAGGCACTGTGGGTAATGTAGTTTGTTAGTGCTCTAAGCCTGCAAAAAAGTTTTTAAAAGTAGTGTAATGCCCAATTTCGAATTGAGTTAGCTTTGTGCTTGCAGCGCAACTCACATTAACCTGCGCACAGCTATGAATGCTCAGCCCCTAGGCTGCGTACGCTCCTACGGCATAGCTTCGAGGCAGAAGAATTGATCAGTCTTTACAGACAAGTGGCTGACGAGATAAGCGACAAAGGGCGAAATTAAAACAGAATCCAGCAGCGACGAAAAACAACAACAAAAATAACGACATTTAACAAATGAAGACATTTCATACTTAGATGATGTGCCTGCTAACCTGCTAACAAAGGAGTAGTCAGTGAAAATGGTCATGAAATTCATGTCTAACCACTTCAGGGTCTGAAAAATGTGCTAACGTTGGCAGTTTTGTCAGCTCTTCAGGAAACCGACGGGTTTTAGGGGGTTGTTTTCAAGAAATAATTTGGTTTTAGAGTTTTTATTGGGCACCTTAGGTCCTAATGGGTTAATGTGACACCATTATCCTTAGCTAATGTACTTACAACAGATTTCACAGAGAAACAAGACACAGACTATATATCTCCATTCATCTACAAAAACATTCAGCATAGTGTCAGTGGCCTACAGGCTAAGTAGCCAACGCTTGAGAAAAATCCAGCACATAGACAGCCCCATTAAACAGCTGACTTAATGCTACATTTTCTTTTGCTTTCATCATCAGGCTGCAACCATAAAACCACTTATACAGTTGTACAACATTTCTCTGTAAGTTTTATGTTGTTTCAGGATGGTTTTATGTTGCTACTAGTAAAGAGCAGTGAGTCGATGTAGAGGGCGGTTCACTTTCAGCAGTAATTTGCCTCATGAGCCAGAACGGCACCGTACTCACAACCTTCGGTCCTTTGTGAATTCACAGCTAATTACCGCAACCTAGTGATATAACAAGGGCATGACATGCATGAGACGAACAACCAGAGCACAAAAAAGGACGAAGAAGGGATGGATACATCCTATAGGAAGCCTGCTCTGATTTGTGCTATAAAATCATATATCCATCTACACTGACCTTAAATGCCACCTTTCTGGAATCGAACTTTAATTTACGTGTATCTTTCAATCCTCAAGAATGTTATCATCAATTAATGGGTATATATATTTGAGATTGAATGTCAAATGTTGAGTAGAAGTGACATAGGAAAGTTCCTCACAGAATTGTAAACAAAGAGGAGATGGAATACATTTGTTAGAGGAGCACGGGGACAAAGTGCATACAAGAGCGAAAGCTATAACAATATGGGAAACATGCTCAAGTGTGAAATCACAAAAATCAAGGGATATGTGCTCTTAATCCCAAAATGCAACAAATACAATACAACATTCAAGAGGAATTACCACAGCAGAAGCAGGATTGCAAATACGTCCGCCTGCCCATCAGACTTTGTGTACCCAACCCAACCTAACCCTTAATTAAGTTTTGATATTTTTACATTTCAAATAAGAGGTCAGTTTATTCAAATAAAGTTTGTCTGCAAGTTTGCTCTGACAATTTCAGAGGATTATTTTGTCACATGAGATGAAGGACAGTGTTAAAGAGCAATCACCAGAGGCCGGCTGAGCTGCTCAGCATTAACTCCTTAGGACAAACAGCAAGCGTTCTTGGTGACATCAACAGCTTAGCTTGGCTTTGGTAAACAGACTTTCTCAGGGGAAAGAAAATCAAGTGAAGTAGAATACATACCTGTGACTAAAGCTGTGATATATTTTACAGCATAAAGCCAATTTTAATATACAACAGAGCCTCTGCTGACTTGTTTTTATATGTGTTGGTTTTATTTTAATGTGGTGATCTGTAGATAGAAAACTCAAGGGCCACAGATGCAATGCTGTTGTTCAACTGTCCAGTAAAACCGTATGTACATATTATGTATTCAATGTTTAACGTCAGACAAACCTCTTTTTATTTGTGGCAGTTTGCGTTGTCCCCAACATGTATGCATATAAAAAAAATATTTATCCTATAAAATGTTCAATATTTCGAGTCAAACAGCACCGAGTATCAAGGCTCTGAAGTAAAGAAACTGTAGTTCCCATGTAATAGTATGGGTTTAAGAAGCACACAAGTAAGGTTAGTGCCATGTGCATGTTTGAATCCCAAAAACATAACTAAAGGAGCCACAGAGTGAACCCTCCTCTGGTGGGTTGAAAGAGCCATTAAATGAAGAAGACTCCATTAAACTGGCAAACACATGCTCTGGGCTTACCGAGGGAGATGAAAACTTAAAATTGTGCACTTACTGCTAATCGCACAAGTGAAGATATGCTACAAGGAAAAGCCCTGACACGTTGAGATTTTGATTCCAATAGGTCACTAAAGCTAGAGGGATACTGAGGTGGTGCCTTGGATAAGCATGTCCACTAAATTGAGTTTTTTTTTTGTTGCATTTAGGAAAGTATTCATAAGATAATACTTGTCGGGCCCAGGCAACCCCCGCTATTCAAATTCAGTTCAGTTTTATTTATATAGTGTCAAATCGTAACATACATTATCTCAAGGCTCTTTACATAGAAGATCAAATTATGTCATAAAACTACTGAAGAAATGTGACCTTATCACTAGCCACCACCGACCTTTTCTGAAAAGGTGTCAAAAAACAAAATGAAATCTCTGAGACTCAAAACCTGAATAGAAAACTCATTGAGCCATGGCATCTCCACCTTTTTTCTCGGATATTAATATCAAATTCAATATTTCCAAGATGTGGGTTTTGTGGATTTGAGTAAGTGAGGAACACTTTCACCCACTCACATCCATAAATGATGATTTTCCCGGCTGTTTCACTGCCATGTCACTGCAGAAGATTTCAGTGCGAAATGTACCATTTCACCTAATACCAGTGCTCAAAAAGATTATTATGTACAACTACTTTCTACGATTATCTTTGAACACCACCTCTGAATTTCTTACCTGAAAGGCCACTGATGACAGATAGGAGGAGAAGTGGTTTCCATGGTGACCCCATACTTGTTGAAGAGGGTCCCTTCTGCAGGAACGTTAGCAGGGCCGCTTCTTCATTAAAGCTGTGTCTACAAAGAGAGAGGAAAACACATCACTATCTCTGTTTATCACATATATTGAAGGTTCAGTGTGTAAGATTTAGGTGAAAGAGATCTATTGGCAGAAATTGAATATAAAATAATTCTAGTCATGTTTTAACTAGTGTGTTTCATCAATTGTATAAATTGTTGTTTCCTTTACTCTAGAAGTGACACTTCATATTTTAATATACCCGCTCCAGATGTTATTATACCAACATCTGGAGCGGGTCCTCTCTACGACGGCCGCCATGTTTTTTACAGTAGCCCAGACTGGACAAGCTAAACATCTTTTGAGTTTTTATGACAAGTGAAGTCGCCAGGTTCTCTTTCATGTTGGGAGGGTGAAGTTAGTCAGCTGTAACATGCAACTCCACCACTAGATGTCACTATATTCTACACACTGAACCTTTAATAAATACAATGAAGAACATCTCAACCTTCAGGCCTTGTATACACTACT